TTTATAGTTTAAAAAAATCTTGCTTTTTTGACAAAAGAACATGTTTTATGGAAAGCTATATGTAGATATTAAAATGCTTAAACATTATATAAACTAGATAGATTAAAATACTAAGAAGTTATGTAAGAAGTTGCATAAAGTACATAATTTTAATTTCTCAACCCAAAAGAACATTTTCTCATTACTCTCTTCACTGTGCCCACTCCTCTCTCTCTAAGTAAGATAGGTGCCTAAGGAGGTAGAGCAACTCATTTTATAAAACATTGCTATACTGCATTAATAATAAGAACCCATTTACCACAAATTTAGCATCTCAGAGAATATTTTATCATTAATTATTTACCCATGACATGACCTCAGTAAAATATAACTTGATATTATTACTTCTTCTATTTTTGTTCCCATAAAATAATTAGATATAGAAGGAAAGAAAATGTATTTGCCTCTAGAAAAGTAGTTTGCTACTCAGAGCTACTAAAACCCCATCTCTGGTTGTTAGTTTATTTCTAACTCAAATTTCACACTGATAATGCTAAATTCAAATTTAGGTTTTATGCAGTATGATTATGAAATGTGCAAGAAAGTAGTGTATCATAAACACAAGGTCAGTCACTCAGTGGACACTGTCTTATCCCAGGCAATGCTGTTTTTATTGATTTTTAAGCATTAGAAAAGCAGACCTAAAAGATAAGCAAATAATGTGGTAAAGCTCCATATATTAATATATTTTTTTAACTTTTGAAGAACTGCAAGTTTAAGATAATTAAAGAAGGAAAAATTGCAGATACTGAAAATGTAATATCATTCAAACATACAGACCCACTAGTAACATTAAGTTGATCGGAAATAACCTTAGGAGTGCCTAGGTGGGTCAGGTGGTTAAGAAGACACTACTCTTGGTTTTGGCTCAGGTCATGATATCAGGGTAGAGAGAGACAGCCCTGTGTGGAGCCCCACTCCAGCTTGGCATTGGTGGGGAGTCTGCTTGAGATGTTTTCTCCCCTGGTCTGTCCTGTCCACTGCCCCACCCCATTCTACCCCACATCTTGATAGCTAAAATAAATAAATAAATATTCATTTAATTAATATTTATTTATTTATTTATTTATTGATGAATATTTTTTAAAAGTCCTTACATTTAAGGATCTATTATTCTATGAATTTTGCAGGTTTTTTTTCTTAAGATTTATTTATTTATTTTAGAGCATAAGAGAAAGAGCACACACATGCGCAAGTGGGAGAAGGGCAGAAAAGGAGACAAAGCAGACTCCTTTCTGACCACAGAGTCCAACGTAGGCTGGATTTCAGCGTCTCTGAGTGGCAATCAATAGTCGGGCACTTAACTGACTAAGCCACCCAGGTGTCCCTACTGACATCATGACCTGAGCCAAAAACAAAAGTTGGACACTTAACCAACTGAGCAACCAATGCACTCCTGCAGTTAGATTTTAACTGATGCAAACTACAATTAAACCACTCAAAATGTGGTAAAAAATGGTTTCTACTGAAAAAAAAATAAGTTCTTGTAACTATTAAGATATGTAGGATACTTTCACTAACCTTAGTCAAATATAAGATTCACTACCTTCAATGCAAGCAGTAACTAAATATTTTGATGGGTTTTGCCTTATGATACTTATTTAAAACTCAAATTCCAGTTTAAAAATGAAGATTATTAAGCATGATAAAATTTCAAGAGACCCCTTTTACCATATCCTTGCTCCTAAGGAATATTTTTGTAATGCAGTGACAATTTATCTAAAATTGAATGTAACATTGAAATTAAATGATTCAATACCTCTGTAATAACCACAAACTATAAAAAAAAATGAACTCATTCTTCTAGTGTATTATAATATTTCTACTGGTCAATACCCACTTATTGTTTCCATTCATTAGCACAGCACCCCACCCAAAATAAGATGTCTATATTCTTAATAAGGTTATCATAGAAATGAATGTGAAGTTCCGATATGAAGAGGTATATTAAAATGAAAGTCCTTTGTAGTTGTGTTTTTCTGTTTTTAAGAGCCCTTGAATTGTCAGTGGTGTTATTCAGAAAGTGTTACATCAATAATAGGCCTCTGTTATTAAAATTATATCACAAAAACAGTATAGATGTGTTTATGAGAAACCAAAGCTTCAAATAGCTTCTTTTTTAAAAATCACCATGCCTGGTTGAATTAAATAATATATTTTAAAAATCCAAAGAATTTTTTTTCATTTTAAACCAGACCTAATATTTAGAAAGCCAAATAGTATAATTCCTCTAACAAAATCATGGAAATATTAAGAAGGGAGAATACTTTAAATAATATTCATATAATGTTACAAATAAATTACCGTTATACTAATAATAAAGGTCCTCTGAGGCTTACAATAGTTGATTTCTTAATGTTAGAGAAAGTGACATATCCACATAAAGCAAAGATACTGGGATCTTTCCCTTTGGGGAATATTTGAGTTAACCTAATAGTTAAAACTGAATAGAGGATCAAATAAAAACACATTTTTACCTCCATCCAAATAAAGTCTATAAATGGGGTAATTACAGTAGCTACAACTAGTGTAGTTAAAAGTCTTTGGATCTTTAAATCAAAATAAAATCTTTTAATAATGTAAAATTATTATCTAATAATAGATTACTGTTAGTCACCTAATGGCATCTTTATCTGTACATCATCATAGGAATGGTTTCTAAGACATTAAGAATTCTGTATTCGAAAAATTTAATAAAATTAAATGTGAGAAAACACATCACAATATTTTTAACATGACATTATAAACAATCGCATGTCCTCTCAACAAGATAAATTTTGTACTTCAGTAGGGGTAGCAAAATGAATTCAATCGTTACTATATGACTCACTACCTAGATGAGCTCTAGAGAGAGAGGCATTATATGGAAGGATTTTCAGGAAGACAATGGTAATATTTAGAAGCACAGATTAGACCTGGCCCAGTGGTCTTAATCTAGTTTCTCCCTTTGCTCTGTCTATGTGCACCACATATTTTGAAAGATTTTGACTTCTGCTAAAAAGATACATTAAATTTGTATTTAAAAAATTAAAGTTTAATATCAGCTTGCCAGAACTTCTAATATGCAAAAATAACATTATTTCCTTGAATTGATATAATCTTAACCAAAAGCAATTTCTCATCTTGAGAAGTGTGAAAGTTTTATAGGTAAGTGAACTATTCACATTAGTTTTCTCAAATATTTAATACTATTTCTAAACTTTAGTTATTACATTTAAATATTCCTAGAGCTTGAGAAATTAGTTATATAGTACAATCACTCCTCTTTAGAGGAAAGGAAATTCAATTAGGACATTTACCCATTCTCATAAACTAGTTAATAACAGAGTCATACAATGATCTTTTCACAATGCTATATTTTATATAGTTGCATTTTATAAACTTTAAAAATCAGGTATCTAAACATTGGTAGTCATAATGAGGTCTGAACCCAGGCTCCCTGATTGATCTTGACTTCTTTTCTAATGATTAGAACCATAAATTGTCATTTGCTCTATGTCATTATGGAAGGCCTTCACATCGCCTGCCTACAAAACCCATAATTTCCTGAACCCATAATTTCACCTCACAGATGTTTTAACGTGTAGAAGACTGCTTATAGGGGTGCCTGGGTGGCTCAGTGGTTGAGCAGTCTGCCTTCAGCTCAGGACATGATCCCGTGATCCCGGGATCGAGTCCCACATCGGGCTCCCTGCATGGAACTTGCTTCTCCCTCTGCCTCTGTCTCTGCTTCTCCCTCTCTGTGTCTCTCATGAATAAATATATAAAATCTTAAAAAAAAAATAGACGTCTGCTTATCTCCTCACAGAATTCCACTTCCTGCCAAATATTTATGTATTTATATTTAATAAGATCTTTTTCAATTAGATCACTTTTATCATGGGGTCATACCAAATACATTCTTACTGATGTTGCCTTGGCATTATACAGAAAATCAAAAAGAGAGACGATCGAGATGAATTATGTATTTCTGGGGGAGGGTTGTCAGGTAGACACTGAGACACTGAGTTTTAAATAATGTTTGAAAACTGAAGAATAATTAAGAATGACTCACCTCGTTCACTAAATATATAGCTTAGAGTATACTGGACTGGTTTTAAGTCTATAAATATAATATCTTGTATATGGAGAAAAAGATGGTAAGCAATTATACCACTGCTTTATATTGTTGCACAAAATCATATACATAAAAATATACTGGGAAATGCAACAGCAAATAAACACTTATAATACTAACAACAGCTTACTTATATTGATACTAATAGATTATAATACTAATGAAAACATAAATTTCCTTTTTATTATATAAGTATAAAATAATAAATCTGCACATTTATATTCCTCAGATTATTATATTGCTTTATTCCTTTCAATTAACTAATATATGCAAAATTAAGGAACTATCTAATATATTTATATCATTAGTTATTCTGCAAGAATACTACTGTTTTTGTAAATTTTAGGATTGAGGGAACATACATGATTAATTCTGACACAGAAATGTATCAAATTGAGGTGCACTTCAAACATACTTGAATTATCAGATAATCACAAAATGGTAAAGATTTGATTACTTTAAAAAATCTAGGAGACAAAAACCAAAAAATAAATATTTGTCACTGAAAATTTTAATTACAACAGAGATGCTTATAAAAATAGTTTTTATAACTATCTAACTTAAAGAGATTGCAAATCATTTAATCAATATGAGTTCTAACACTATTTAAAATAACTATCTGCAATTAACATTGCAATTAACCAATGCTTCTACAGATACTGACTTAAAATGACAGTGGTAAAGTTTGCTCTAAAGCTTAAAAATTCTAGATTGATTTGTTCAGTATTAATAAGTAAAGCTGATTTGAAACTCTGTACTTAAGTGGCACATACTAATAATCAAGCAATACAGATTCATGTTTACTCAGATCTTTAAGCAAAAGATTAAATAATATTATTGATACCTCTCTCCGTCGAGAAGCCCAGCATGTTTGTTTGATCTTCCATACCACTGCAGCTACCAGCAATAAAGATAAAAAACAACTGGAAAATAAAACACAAGTAATTTTCACTTAAAACATTGGAAATATGTAATGAAATATTCAAGAATATGTACAGAATTTAAAAATATATAGAACTAACCACTCTGTCTTGGTAAATAATTAAAGCAAAAATGGAAAAATAGCAGCATTTAAAATGTTTTCAAGTAAAAAACAAATTATACAGGTAGAATAAATATTTATATTCCTTTTTAAACAGTATAATCTATCTTTAAGATATTCCCTGTCAAAAAAAATATAAATTTGTAACTCTGTTAGTCTTATGAAGCAATAGAAATCTATTTAGAATTACTATTGAGTCATAAAAGCTGGGAATTTTATAAATTTAGGTTTCACACAGATTCATTCATTTTATCTATATTAGCAACTATTTTAGATATGAGAATATTCTAGTGGTTCTCAAGTGAATATAATTTTGCTCCCCACTCACCCATAGGACACATTTGGAAATATCTGGAAACATGTGATTATCACAATATTGGTAGGGGTGCAACTTGCATTAAAAGAGTAGAGCCAGGGATGCTACTAAATATCCTGCAATGCATAAGACTGTCCCCAATGACAAGGAGTTCTCCAGTCCAATATGTCAGTCATTCTGAAGTTGAGAAAAACCAGTATATGCTAATGTTTACACTAGGAAATAATTCAGTTACAGTATTCATTCCTATGGTCTATATATATTAGGTAAAACATGCAATAAGCTATGAACACGCAGGATACTTTGTTAGCAGTGATTGAGACTAACAAATCTCAAAATAACAGAATCTTATATATTTAATTAATTGGTTCCAACTATGTGTCACTCTTTTCTCTCCCTTTGCTCTGAGGTCAAACAGCATGCTACGAAAAGACCCAAGGGTGAGCAGATAAATTCACTAGTCACTGGTCACTACAAAAAACTTGGTACTCATCCTTAACTTATAATCCTTGTATTCTTCAAAACATTCACTCATAAGCTATGCAAATTTTAACACTTTCCACTCTTGTTAATTTATTAATATACTTTTTCTCCTTGTCTCACTTGAAGAGAAGATTGTCGAATATCCTACAATGATGATGACAGTGGCAATTCTAGCATCTGTCCATTGAATGCTGAACACATTTCAAGATACTGTACTAAATAATTCATTCACACTGATGCTTGGATTTGGTTTTATGAGAACACTTCAAGATAGAATATATTATTCTTATTTTTAAAAAGAAAAATCCAATGTTCAGGAAGTTCAAAGTAAATTGCTGAAAGTCACAATTGCTTTGCTTTTTCAAGGTTGCTTTGGCTATTTGGGGTCTTTTGTGGTTCCATGCAAATTTTAGGATTGTTTGTGGTAGCTCTGTGAAAAATACTGTTGGTATTTTGATAGGGATTGCATTAAATGTGAAGATTGCTTTGGGTAATAATAGACATTTTAACAATATTTGTCTTCCAATCCATGGGCATGGAATGTTTTTCCATTTCTTTGTGTCATCTTCAATTTCTTTCATAAGTGTTTTATAGTTTTCAGAGTACAGGTTTATTACCACTTTGGTTAAGTTTATTCCTAGGTATCTCATGGGTTTTGGTGCAATTGTAAATGGGACTGATTCCTTGATTTCTCTTTCTGTTACTTTATTTTTGGTGTACAGAAATGTAACATTTCTGTATGTTGATTTTGCATCTTACAACTTTACTCAATTCATGTATCAGTTCTAGAAGTTTCTTGGTGATATCTTTAGGGTTTTCTATACAGAGTATCATGCCATTTGCAAATAGTGACAGTCTGACTTTTTCCTTGCTAATTTGTAAGCTTTTTATTTCTTTTTTTGTCTGATTGCCATGTCTAGGACTTCAAATACTATCTTAAATAACAACGGTGAGATGGATCCTTGTTTTCTACCTGACTATAGAGGAAAAGCTCTCACTTTTTCCCCACTGAGGATATTAGCTGTGGGTTTTTCATATATGGCCTTTATAATGTTAAGGTATATTTCTTCTATCCCTACTTTTGAGGTTTTTATCATGAATGGAGGCTATTCTTAGCCACATGCTTTTTCTGCATCTATTGAAAGGATCATACAGTTCTTACCCTTCCTTTTATTAATGTAGCATATCACATTGATTAATTTGTGAATACTGAACCACACTTGCTAGTCCAGGAGTAAATCCCACTTGATCATGGTGAGTGATCCTTTTATTTTTTTTAATTTTTATTTATTTATGATAGTCACAGAGAGAGAGAGAGAGAAAGGCAGAGACACAGGCAGAGGGAGAAGCAGGCTCCATGCACCGGGAGCCCGACGTGGGATTCGATCCCGGGTCTCCAGGATGGCGCCCTGGGCCAAAGGCAGGCGCCAAACCGCTGCGCCACCCAGGGATCCCTGAGTGATCCTTTTAATGTAATTGCTGGATTTGGTTTACTAGTATTTTATTGAGAATTTTGGCATCCAGGTTCATCAGAGATATTGGCCCGTAATACCCTCCCGCTTTTTTTTTTTTTTTTTTTTTTTTTTTTTTTGGTGTCTTTGTCTGGTTTCAGTATCTGGGTAATGCTGGCCTCAGAGAATGAATTTGGAAGTTTTCTATTTTTTGGAATAGTTTGAGAAGGATAGATGTTAACTCTTTTTTAAACATTTGGTTAAATTTGCCTGTGAAGCCATCTGGCCCTGGACTTTTGATTGCTGGGACACTGTTTATTACTGACTCAATGTATTTGCTGGTTGTCAGACTCTTCAAGTTTTCTATTTCTTCCTATTTCAGTTTTGGTACTTTATGTATTTCAAGGAATTAATCCATTTCTTCCAAGTTGCTCAATTTATTGACATAGAGTTTTTCATGATATTCTCTCATAATTGTTTGTATCTGTGATGTTGGTCATTATTTCTCCTCTCTCATTCCTGATTTCATTTACGTGGGTCCTTTCTCTTTTCTTTTTGGTAAGACTCACTAGGGGGGTTATAAGTTTTATTAACTTTTTTCAAGAAAATCCCTTTATTTTCTTAGTTTCCCTTTATCTTTCCTGATGTACTAGAAGGTCAGTGAAGGTAGGTCACATTCCAGGTTTCGTCTTTTAAATTATGGACATTCCCTAAATCCCAGTTCATACCATGCTGTTACCTTCTCTTGCTCTCAGAAAGAACGAGTTCAGTTATCCTCATGGCCTCAACTATAACCTCAATTGGAATGATTTCCAAACCTATATTATTATATCTGCCCAAATGAGAGCATCTTATCATTAAAGGTGATCTAAGGGATTTAATTGAGATGCCTTCCCAGGAAAGAAATACCCAGCACAACTCTGTGATCCTGCCTCTAATCGCTCATCAAAGCTGAGAAGCTGCTTACTCACTAGTCACTGCATTCTATTTTTAGCTAGTTCAAACTATAAAAGTGTTCTTCTATTAAGCTCTTTCTAACTTTTGTCAATCAATGCTGCTTCCTTTGTCTTCTGGTTTACACTGAATCAGTCCATTCTTTCTTCTATATGGTAAGGCTTGTTTATATATTTGAAAAACCTACCTAATTCCCTCTAGTTCAGTGGTTCTCAATCAGGAGAGTTTTGGGCTCCAAGGGATATTCGGTAGTGCCTGGAGACATTCTGGTTTCACCATTTGGTGGACGTCTAGTGGAATGTTGGTAAATACCTTTCAATACAAAAGCTCACTCTCCTGCCAGTAACAAGGATTCTCCTAGCTCAATATGCCAATTGTGCCTTTGAATCCTGTTCCAGTCTGAATTATTAGAATTGTGGTTATACTTCCCTTATTCCACCCCAGATTAAAATTTTAACTGGTAAAATATGGTACTAATGATTAATACTTCAGATAAGACCAAGGATCCATATATCTGAATTTCAGTCCTATCAATATACTTAAGAATTTTAACATAAGAGATATATCACCTCCAATCTACTATGCCCAAACAGAACTCATAAAGAGCATTCATAATAATAAAATAAAATAACATCCATCCAGTAATATGTACCAAGAACTATGTTATGTGGTTTACACACATTATTTACCACAAATATGCATGATATACCATGTATACTGCTATGTATTTATTTAAACGATAAGAAAGCCAAGTCATGGAAACTTTAAGTAAGTCACCTAAGTGACAAGTCTTAAATTGCAGTTCTCCCTTCCTCCTAACTTTGTTTCACCATTATTTTTCAGCTAAAATGTAAAAACACATTCAACTTTAAAATCCCTGTAATGAATCCAGCAACAAATCTCACCAACAGTTTCTTTCAGATTTTGTGCAGTAATAGACAATACTACATATGCTAAAATTCATTTACATTTAATAATTAAAGACAACTTAAGTATCAAAATGCATTTTTATTTAATAATTTGTAATTCACAGTATTTTCCCCCCAAAAAAGTTACATGATAGAGATTCAGTTCAAGATGCAGGAGACTGGTTCAATTTCTCCATGAGGAATCTAAATTCTTTGTGATCTAAATTTCATGACTCAAGTAAAAAGTGTTGTCTTTATAATGGTGCAGAATGCCAATATAAAATTTTGTTTATAATTTCACCTCCTTGTGAAGAGGAGATATGTACTTTAGGGGTTTGCAGTAAATGCTTTCTATGTTGATTAATATTAGGTTATTGGTAAAACCTATCAGTAAAAAGAGAAACCATGATGATACAAATAAATAGGCAAAATAAAGAAATAGTTCAAAAAATCCTTCTAATAAAATTTTATAATCTCCAATAAATATTAAAAACCCAGTAGAATATATCTCTGTTACTTGCATATAGTAGGTGTCATTGAGCTTTTGTTAAATGAATGGAATTAGTTCTTTAATTGATGTAAAAATCTAATAATTGTTCTGACAGTAGATGTCCTTATTTGGAAATTTTATCCTTATATCAAGGTAATGTTTACAAATGCTTTACTTTGGTTTTTTTATGATTCTATTTATTTATTTAACAGAGAGAGAGAGAGAAAGAGTGAGAGAGAGTGAGCACAAGCTGGGTGAGCAGCAGGCAGAGGGAGAGGG